AAGCTTGTTCTAAGTAGGTGCTTTAGACCACTGAGCCATCTCACCAGCCCCTAGGTTGCTTTGTAATATGTAATTGTTGAAGTTTTTTTAGAGATTTCATTATAACACAATTATTAATTTTTTTCTACTTTTAGGCGTTTAAATGCAGAATTAGAAGCAAAAACAGCTGATCTTATTCAACAAGCTGAGGAAGCAATAGTAAGTAGATGAACAATTAATAATAATCCCACATAAGTGCTAATTTTTTTAACTTTTTAATTTGATATATAGCATACACTAAAAAATGTACTCAAAGCGTAAATGTTCAGCTCAATGAATCATCACAAACTTTGCCTGAATTTACATGTAGAGATATAGCTATGTGTGTATGTAACTATCTGTGTTGCTAACCATATATTTTCTAAATGCCACTGAAAAAGTTTTACATTTAGGTGTTGCAGTAATATAACAAAATTGATACATAACAATATTTTATGGTAACAAAAGATTAATATTTGAGAATAGCTGCATAGAATTAACATGGATAATTTAATAGGGATAGAAATCAAATTGCCTCTAAATGAAAGTTGAATAAAGGATAACAGTCATGATTGATATTCAAATGGTAATTTGTTTCTTAAACTGTGTGGTTGAATCTAATTCAGATTCTTAGGGCTGGAATACAACCACGTTTTTGATCAGGAGCAGCATTGCGAGGTTTTGTGTAAGAACATTGCTCTCCGTACTGGTACCAGCTTAGATGTTCCTGCTTGGACGTCCCCCTCTGCACATCGCATTTGCAGTTTTATTGTATGTAGGATAGAACAGCCTTCTTCAGAGAAATCAAGTGGGTGCGCCCAAGCTTACCAGTTCTTACCCAGAGTAATCATCTTCCTTTAGTCTCCCTTCTCCTCAAAATGGAATGGATGGGGGCAGAGAAAGAAATGTACCAATATCTTAATGCCTTTTCCAAATACTTAATTTAGGGATAAGAAATGTGTCATAGGTAATACTTCAAGTAATATATTTAGATAATATTTACAGACATGCTAGTGTAAAGGGTTAACAGAATTTTGTGTCTTAACTGTGGAAAATTATTAAAAACCCCTTGTGATTCCTGTTATCTACTCTAAGAAATGTATTCTCCCTCTGGGTTCAAGGCTGTTTAACAATAAATAACTGTTTCTAAGGCAACAGGCTAACACAAACTCCCTCCCCAACCATCTCCTGTAACATAGCTTAAGATGTATCTTACAAAAATATACACTTATCACTGAACTGTAAAAGACCCTTTAGTTACAAACAGTTTGCAGCTGTGTCAAATGAATGTAGTTTCTGTTGTTCTGTGCTAGATAACAAATTCGCTGGATGTGATTTCTGTTATAAATCACTGGATGTGATTTCTGTTATAAATACTCCCCTGCTATCTACGTTCGGGGGCCGATCAGTCTTCTCCTGAGTGAGAAGTGGCTGATGGACCTAAGCTCAATAAATAAAAAACTCTATTCAAATTTCTAGGTGGCTGATCTGGTTCCTATACAGAGTAACCCATAACAGCTAGTTGTATATTTAATTATTTTAGTAGCCAGGTATGATGGCATACACCTATAATTCCAGCAATAAGGAGGCTGAGGCTCAAGGTCAGCCTGAACTATATAGGGAGACCCTATCTCCAAAATAAACTTTTTTTTTTAAACTAGAAACAAATATTTGTATTCTACTTTTGATGGTGTCAGAACGGGAAAACACTTGTATAGAAGAACCACACCATAGTACAATGAGAGATTCATGTGTAGAGTCACCTAAAGAGACTGTCTTTTCTTCCAAAAGAAAGCAAAGAGAAAAACTGAAAAAGAGCAAAGGCCTTGCTGCCCCACCCCCCGAAGCTGACTAGTGAATATCACTTTGGAGTTATAGACCCTGTTCATCTGCGCTGCTTTCTTGATATATCTATGCCAAAACTTTTACTCCTGATAACTGATTTTTAGCATCTTCATGGTATTCACAACACAGAGATTTTTACCTGACTTGAGACGTTTTCTTTCATAGTAATTGGATTTTTTTTAATTTATTTATTTATTTATTTATTTGTGTGTGTGTGTGTGTGTGTGTGTGGCCAGCTCAGCCCACCAGGGGGCGGGCTGGCTGGCATGTGGTGCTGGGGGATTGAACTGTGGTCCCTGTGCTTTGCTAAGCTTGTTCTAAGTAGGTGCTTTACACCACTAAGCCATCTCACCAGCCCAGTAATTGGATTTTTTTTAGATTTCTTGTCTCTTCCTAATTTTTATTGCATGCTATGTAATGGTAGAAGGCTCTAGTGGGGGAATAGGGATTGGAAACCCTAAAAGGGCCTCTGCACTCTTTTATCTTTCCCTTCATACTGACTTTCTTACCCCAGAACAAATGAAAAGTCAAGCTGTAATACAACAGGCCTCGTTTTCATACTGTCACCTTTCAGATCTGTTTTCATGTTGTAAAATCTGGAGAACTCTGAAATGATGAGTGTTATGCAAGATATTTAGGAAGTTCTTAGTTTTATGTTTTTCTGTGTTACATATGACCTGTCTTTCCTCACTGAACTAGAGAGATCAACACGAGGCACAGTCCAGGCCTTGTTCAACCCTATGTAAATCATGTGAAGAGAAAGATGATTACAGCATAAGGCAAGTGATTTGTATTTTTTTTTTTTTTTTTGCTGAACTGGGGATTGAAATCAGACCCTTGTGCTTGCCAGAAAAGCGCTTATTCCACTGAGCCATCACTCCGGCCCCAAAAAGTACATATTGATCACTCATTATATGCCAACTACTGTCAACATAATGAAGAATTAAACCAACCTTTATAATGCTGTCATCAAAGTAAATCATTTTATTTGTGTAAATTGGATGTTTTATCTTAATTTATAGTACTTGTATCTGTGAATAAATTAAAATTTGATTTCAAAAAATAAAATAAAATAAAAACTTAGTCCTCCCCCACCCCCCCCAAAAAAAAAGCACCTACAAGCAGGCGCAGGGGCTGGGGTTTGATCCCTGGGCCTGCTCTGCTCTGCCAGCCCTGCCTCTGGGGTGTGCTAAAACGGCAGTTGAGACTTGGCGTGGTGGTGCATGCCTCTAATCCCAGCTCTTGGGAGGCTGTAAACAGGCAGATCATTATGAGTCTGATCTAGTAGTGAGACTCTGAACCCCCTGTACACTCTTCTCTAAAATACAAAAAAAGAAAAGAAATAGGTAATTCATAGATGTTAAACTGCGTCTTGATGAATTCTGTACTGTGCTGCTCCATGCTGCCTGGAATGAGCATCATCCCTTTACCTAACACATCCATGTAGCTTGTAGTTTGTGTAGGATATAATGACGAAGATGAGAGGCAAGCTGGCTGCTTATTTTCTGCCCTGCCATGGACTGTTTCTCCTCTGAGATACCCCTCTGCTGTGCCACCCTGCTGTGGAGCCAGCCTATTATGGACTTAAACTACTACAAACTGTGACCTAAAATGAACCTTTCCTTCTTTAACTTTGTGTCAGGTGTTTTGTCCCAGCAATAAGAAAGTAGCTAAGGCAGACTTGTACCTAAAACACTGCACTATTATTCGTTTACTTGAAAATAATTATTGCAAATAATACAGCAATTCCTTTCTGAGATATTCTAGAAAAATGAAGACCAAAATAAATACATACATACATACATACATACATATATACATAGAAACAAAAACTTACATATAAATATTTAGAGCACCTTTATTTTTATTTTTTTTGGAACCGGGGATTGGTATTTTTATTTATTTA